TGTGTGTGTGTGTGTGACAGTCAGATGACAGCAGTGTGACCAAACACTGGCGTTGTTTGCATCTCTATCTACCGCTGCTCACTGGGTGGTGGACATTAAATGATGTTTTTGTATATTTATATATATATGTGCAGGGATTTCACACTAACCGAAAATTGTAGTCCGGATGTTAAAAGAACAAGGAACTGATTTTTAATAATTGAGTGGTTTTTTTTTGGTTTTTTTCTCGGCTGTGTCTTGTGGTTGTGACAGCACCGTGGCTGTTTGCATTGCACTGAATCGTCGCCTCAAGTCACTGTTAATGTATTTATTTTATTTGAACCGTTCGTGTTAAGTTAGCTAGCTGGTCTAATCTGCTCCATGCATGTTTGATTATGCATTTTCAAGTCTTATCTTTGTACAGCTTTTTAAGATCCTTTCTGTTAAGATGGTTTAAAAATCCACAGTCCTCCTCCTCCTGTGTGAGTTTGACACCTCTACAGTCTTTTTAATATAAATTTAGTTGAGTATTAAAGAAGACTGTAACTTTTGTACACGCCTACTTGATTTGAACTAAGACTGCTGGAGCTTCATGTAAGTTCGGCCAAGTCTTTGCATACATTTTCTACGCTGAACGGGGCATTTGTCCCCTGTTACTTACATTAAAACAGATCTCTTAAAGGGCTTGGTACAGACAGGAGGATCGATTACGGCGGCCAACTCTTCCAGTGAGCATTGTTTCATGCATTTATCCTTTTTAAATCCCAGCACCCACGGGCCGGCACACATGATTAATAAAAAGGGTTAATAATCCTGCCTGTGAGAAATTATGTTCAGCATCTTGAGAGCGAGAGAGAGCCAGCCCACCAGCTCCTGCCCCAAGCTGGGAGCAGAACGGGTCAGGTCCCTAGGTTACGGGGGCCATGGCTTTACCTGTTACATAATGCTGCTGTAAGCTGCGCTGAGCTCATGGATGGCTGGGCAACCGAAACAATTGAGTTATAGATGCCTGATAATGATAACGTTTTGGTGTCTGGGTGGGTTGGGGGTGGGGAGCTGCAAGATCCTGGCAATGAAGTGCACTCCGAGGCTGAAAATATGAGCCTTAGGATGGATGAAATGAATTTATTACTGATGTCTCACAGGAATTGAGTCTGCACACATGTCAGGCGGATGTCAGAGAAAATATTCCAGTCCCCATTTGCGCTAATGTTTATGTTTTTGATCAGATTTGTTTTGATAATAAGTCTAATTTTCCACATTGATGGATTACCTTTCTGGGAGATTATGATGATGTTTTTTTTTCTCTTGTAATGCCAGCTTGACTGTGTAGCAGATGATTGATTAGCTGACTGGAAGTCTAATATAAATTCTGCTTATTCCTGCAGACTGTGCGTCATGGCTTCCCATATCAACCATCCTCAATGGCTTTTGACCCCGTGCAGAAAATCTTGGCCATTGGGACTCAGGCCGGAGCTCTGAGGCTGTATCCTTTTCTTTTTTTTCCAAGGGGAAATTGGAAATGAAGAGAGCCACACAAGGAAAGTAAAGCTGGGATGATTCCAGTGATTTTTCAACGTCCTCCACTCCCTTGTGCACACACACACACACACACACACACACACACACCCACACCCACATACCCACATAACAACACACTCCAGGCTCATGTCTAACTTCCTCACAACCTCATATGACCAAGTCGCCCTTCAGCATTCCACAAATTCTGAGGAATTCACAAAGTAAGTGACCTGTCTTTGCCTCCTGTCATCCAACACAACAACAAAAAAGAAAAAGAGAGGTTTATCCTGTTTACCTGCGACGCCACGACGGTTAGAAAAATGTTGTAAAACGTTTATTTAGCATTTTTTTTAAAGTGTTTATCGCCACATTTTCAGTTGTGGAGGAAAAGAAACCAACTGTCGTCCAAGTAAGACTTTGGTGAGTGTTTATTTTATATTATTTTTAACTTAATACTGTTAAAACAGCTTTTTGTTTTCCGGGTTGCTTCACAGGTTTTTTTTAAACATACACAAGTTTTTAATGATGATAATGTCCGGACCAACCGTTTCCTCCCAACATGCCCTGCTGGTGAATTAGCCCGGTTAGCATAGCCCATCACTTTCTCTAGGAATATCCTCCTTTTATTTTTATATTATATTTTATATTATTACCTGCGTCTTTACCCGGCTTAAACGTTTCTATGGAGCCCACAGCTGACTTTAAAGTTGACCCAGGTGCGGTGAAGTTAGTGGAGCAGGTCAGGCATTACTGAGGGCAACTGTTGGCGGTGTTTAAGGCAAGAGGAGACTTTCGTTTGTTTAAGATGGTCTTTTCTTTCTTGTCGTTTTTCTTTCCTGCCCTTTTCTTGCTCACAGGGTTCACAGCCGGGTTGAACATCCGCAGAAGTTTGTGGTTTTGTGACAAAAAGTCTCCATAAATGATATGTGAGGTAGTTTATTTTAAACTTAAACACACTGTAGCACATCCTAAAGAAAACACTTATGGATGTATTGACTCAATGGGGTTTATTGATTTAAATGAGTCATTGATTAGATCCTGAAATGGGACTGTGAAAGTGTGAAGTAGTTCATATAGAGCTCATCAATTACTGTGTGCAATGGTGTATTTAACGTTGTTTTCTTGTTGTGTCTTTGCAAAGTAAAGCGAAAGATAGTATAAAATGCAATATTATTAAGAGTGTGTTGCATGATGATAGTGGATATTTAATGGGATTTGGCACATAAAGTCATAAAAATGGAAATAAATCACAGACCTGAGGGAAACTGTGCTTTAAAGCAGATTGGGTTTCACTCCTACAGGAGTGGAAGATACAACACAATTATAAAATAAACCATAAACATGCTGAATTAAATGTTGGATAATTATTCCTAAATACTCCCAAAATATTCTCCTGAAAACACTTTCTTGTTCACATTTTCATATAGTTCTGATTTTATAGTTAATTCAGGCTAAAAGAACTGTAGAACTGCTGAAGTTAATGAACAATATTTCTTCATGATGGGATTCTGTTTACACAATAAGTGATGATATTAAAATGATTCTGAGTCCTGCCCACCGACATAAAAACAACAGTTTGCTTACAAAAATGCAGTAAAGTTCCTTTTCTCCATAAAAATCGTATCCCAAAAGGTGCAACAAACCGTCGTGCACCCAAAAGTGTTTCACAAGTTTTGAATTTTGTACTTTTTAGACTGTCATCTGTTAGTGATAATTACCAACCACACCAGCAGCACCAGTGAATGCTGGGATGCTGTGAAGGATTAACCTCCTTCTTGCGACCTGGACTAAAGTGATTCTTTGGCCGCAGCAGCTGTCAAACCTCGACCCACATGAGCCACTTGCGACTGAGCCCGAGCAGGAGGGCTACCGGGATAATTGGCTCAGAGGCTGCGTGGAGAACGCAAACTGAGTCAGTGCCACATCACAAGCAAAGTGTGAAAAATTAAACTAAGGTCAGACCAGTGCTGTTAATAATAGAAACAGTTATTATTTTCCTGCAAATTTCTTGTGTTATTCCAATTTTTTATTACATTTCTTTCAACTCAGCTTCCGTACTGCTGAGCCGTGATTTTCTTGCATTTCATAAGCCGCTCAGATGTGCAGATGCAGAATACTGATTTTTTTTTTTTTTTGTCTCTATTGTCTGTGGTGAATGGGTACCCCGAGTCTGGGGAGTGGGGGGGACACCTGGCCTGAGCGCTTGATGATCACACTGAGAGCAGCTGGAAAAGCAGGGGTCAGGAGGGTGGTCTTTGTATAGACATTTAGGCCCAAACTGGGAAAGTTTCATCTGATTTTAGACGTAATGGTACGCTCTTACTTTCAAACTTGATTCACAAGGTTTTTAACAAAGATGATATCAAAGAAGACAACTCATTTTTGCATTGTACAGCCGCCCCGGATGCAGAAATAAGGCAGGATGTAGCGTGAAAACTGTTTGTAAGACAAGTGCACACGGAGGGCAGGAACAGAGATATTAGTCAGAAACAATGGATGCACTATATGAACATTGGAATGATGCCAGCAGTCCCAACACTTACGTAGTGTGCAGAAATGTGTCGCCGCAGTCAGACGTAACATTGGTGGAAAGTGAAAATAGACGCAGATGAATGCTATACTCTGCTCAGCTCTTCATCGCTATTTCCAAGTCACGTGCCATTTACCTTCCTTAAGCTTCGAGCGGCTGACCTGGGATGTCGCGTCTATGAGTTATGTCATTGCCTAAGTTAGTCAGACTCCACTGTTTGACCCATGATGACCGCTCGCAATTCGCTTCCTGAATAATTAGCCAGGATTGGTTGTTTGCATTGCTCGAGAGAAACGCAGCTTGCTGTGCGTTTTGGTGTTGTGTTGGACTGGACTTCTGTTTGCCACAAAAGAGCCTCGCTCTCTGACAAATGGCTCTCATTGTTTTTCAATTACAGCAATGATCCACCTGAATAGGAAGTATAACAACTTTTGTCCGTGTCTCTGTAACCGATGCTGCCAGCCTGTAACTGTTGGCTCAAGGCTCCGGTGTAACCTTCTAAATGAGTTCTTGGCTGTTTGTTCCACTTTTTCAGTGCCAGTTGGCTGTCTTTGTCCTTGGTCTTTATCACAGTCTGACGAGCGTTTAGTCGGCAAAAAAACTCAAAACATGCTGCTTTTTATCGTTTTTATTAGGATTAACTTAGAATAGTTTTTTGTCAGCCTTTACGAAATCAGATACCCTTACATTTTGATCATGTATTTATTGGTGCTGTTTACAACAGTACTGACGTGTTTAAGCTACGTCAAACTGTCTATACAAGGTCAAATTTCACTTTCATGAGAGCCTCAGATTGAATTACATTGGTCATGAAACATTCCAGCTAAAGGCATTAAAAAGAGAGTCATGGGCAATGCCAGACCTGGCCACGTCGATCAATTTATCTGATTGTCTAATCATTCTAATTGGATTAGCCAAAGCCTGCACCACAAATGACGCTGGAGCAGTGTGTTGGTAGCTCAGTCGCTCAGTGACACACTCAGATGAAGGCGCTGTTAGGAACGCATGCCGCCGAGATAGATGCTTCCTCCCTGTTTGTGAGTGTCTTTTAACAGTCATTAGAGATATTATGCTCTGTGGTTTATGTTGAATTCTGTGTTTGTGCGTATCACATCAGCTGAAATGTGAAAGTGAGATGAAATAAAGGTTGTCCTCCTGTGTCTTTCAGGGCAGGGTGCTGTCCTGTGGGATGGATGACACCCAAGAGCAGGACCACTATGAGGAGCGCCTAAAAGAAGTTTTTAACAGTTTTGACGCGAGCGGCTCCGGCTCACTGTCCCCGGAGGAACTCTCTGACCTCTGCCAGTCGCTGCACCTGGACGATGCCACACCAGCTCTCCTCCATACGCTGCTGCAGAACCAGGACCGGCTCACAGCCAGGGTACATTTTATTTCTCTGCCACTAGAAAAGAAAGCAGTTGTTTTTGTCCGCAACCTTGCTCTGTAATTTCCTCAGAAAAGTTGTATTTGCAGAATCCTTATTGTTCCTTTTCCGATGTGCATGGGAGTCGTGGCCTATTGGCTCTCCTGTGCATAGGATCCTCTACATCCTTTGAATCTGGCAGACGCCTGTGTCAAGCCACTCCAGCTTTCAGGTCTTTGTGTCTCCAGGCTTTTTGGTGCTTTGTTAGCCGTCTTGTTGAGGAGAAAATGTGCCCCCATCAGCCCTGATCCCCAGGTGTCTGTCGTCAGGACGACCAAGCCGACTAATCACCATTCACAGATGCATTTCTTTGAGGGTGCTCCATGTGGAAATGTATGAAATGGAAAGGACACTGGTCTAATCTGTACAACTGGACTTCAGATTGTATAAAATGCATTGCACACACATTCACAGGATCTCCAGTGTGCAGTTTTTATCTTTTCAGCCTAAAGTAGGGGGATGAGATATCATATTCCAAATTGCTCCACACTTTTGCACCCAGTTGTGTTTGTATATAAGCGTGTGGACAGACGGCTGGCTATTGTCTTGCAAGTGCGGGTGTGTGGGCGGAGTGAATGTTAGTAAGGGGCCCACGAACTGATGGCCTACCCATGGCATCCCACAATAAAGTCAGAAAAAGGGAAAAACCCCCACGAAAAGCCGGCAGCCGGCAGCCGCCATCCTCGACGCACAAAGAAAATCACCATATTCAGGGTTAGCAGCTGTTGATTCTTGAAGTGTGACCTCCCTGCTCCTGCTCAGCAGACCCTCCTCCACCCAGGGACACCCAGCCTCCACCCAGCCTCCACCCAGCACACAGGGAATTACATCCAGTCTAAGGAATTTAAAGAACTTTTGCTTTGTTTTATACTTTGCTTCACATACTAAGCATTGCTTGCATTTTTTTCACATTAATGTAAGACTTCAATTAAGAATCTCTCTGTTTTATTTTCTTGTTTCAGGTTGACTTTGACCAATTCAAGAATGCACTGATTCTGGTATTGTCATCAACTATTGAGCCGCCACAAGCAGAACAAGAGTCCTTGTCAAAACCAGGTAAAGTCTGGATCCCACACAGACAAACACTGTACAAAGCATGAAGCCATCTCCTCAACCTACTGTTATGTCAGCATTAGTTAAATATTGAACTTGAATGAGACTTTTTTTTCCCCATTCAACAAGTCAACCAAGTGAGAAGGTGACTTGTGAAGGCTCAATAAGAACATCCCCAATGCTGATTCAGCTGTAAATCTACATACAGAGGCACAGAGCCAGAAGTGCAGACCCAAAGCCAATTAGCAGACAGTTGAGCTATTTGTAGTGTCATGGTTGGACCACTAGCACAATTAATTATATTGTGGATGTAGTTAATACAAAGAGTGGTTTAATTGGAAACATTGGTTTATGTTCCCAACTTGTTTAATGATTATCTATTTTGTGAATGAATATCTCAGACTCGTGGTTAAAGCCTACATCTTTTTTAGCTCAGGTTCTTCAGGGTCACATCTCACACTATTGATCACACAATGACCTGTATGGGTGTAGGTTCAATATTTATGTATTAATGCTAATGCATAAAATCTTCCTACAGAGAGATGTTTTCTCTGCAGTTTGCACCAGAAGCACTGTCAACCTTTTGGTTTCATTTAAATAAATGGGAACATTTGGCTTCAAAAGATCCTTTAGTTACCATTTTTAGAGAAGTTGTTAGGTTTGGAGAAGTAGCTGCTGAAGGCTGCGGCAGATATTAGTCACTGAACATTTTTTCTGTACTTAATAATATCCACTATTGTGCAAACCTTACTATGACGACTCATTTTGAAGTGCAAATAATTATGACTTGTCATTGTATCTCCTCAGACTCTCCTGAGATCCAGCCAAAGTTTGTGAAGGGCAGTAAACGCTATGGCCGGCGCTCCACGCCAGATTTCATAGAACCCATTTCAGACTTGTCCGAATTTAGAATTGCAAATCCGGTAGAGGAGGAAGATCTGGAGGACAACTATGACTCAGCTGTTCCAAGGAAGCGTGAGGTAAAAGGCTAAGACCAACACTGTTCTGAACCTCCAGACACTCGGATGCCATCCTTATCGCCTCCTGTCCTTGCTTGTACTGTGTTTCTCGGGAGCCACAGATAGGCAGCGAGGCGTTATTCTTAGCTAATCAGCTTATTGGCATGCAGGGCAGATCCTGAAATGTAATGTAGACACTCAAACACGATTCACAAAGCTCTGTTCATTGCATAACAACACAGCACTGTCTGTAAATAACACTGAGCATAATTACGGTTTTAAAAGCCTCCAGTAATCAAGATGCGACCGCAGTGTTTGTTTTAGTGTCGCACAGTGTTGTCAGTTTAATGTTTCATGATGCGATTGTGTTGAGTTGAACTTTGCCTTGAGTGTTTTATGCTGGCGGGTACGTGGTGGTCAAGGGAACAGCACAGTGATCTAAGAATGTACTTAATCATGTCCGAACAGATAAAAAGAGAGACAGGCTCTGATTGTAGTGTTTATGCTTGTCAGTATTTCCCTTTATTTAAGATTGACAGAAGGTGCCTCCCACTGTCTGCACAGGACATGAGCTGCTTAAACGTGACATGCTTCTGTGTCACTGTGTTGTATAGCATTAGTTCCATCATGGCCATGCACAGCTGAACACTCTGCGTGGTTCCTCTGGTTGATCTTCTTTTTCTTGGATTATCCTCGCTGCTGACATAGAAAGTTGTTTGACATATGTACAGAGGTCTAAGCTCACACTTTGCGAGGCCAAGGCCTGCAATGGAAATAGGGATGAGAAATTAATAGTAAAACCAGCAAGACGTTGCATTTTGTCCTGTAAATCTATTTGTAGAGCGTGTGGTTTTTGTCGATTTAGCAGAAACGTACCTAATATTTATCTTATATATATCATCAATAGTCTTTGTAATTTATCAAGAAAAAGAGCAAAACTTCTCACAGCTTCTCTGTGTGTGATAATTTTAATATTTTTCTCTGTTTTATATTATTTAAAGTTTGGTTGCACAAACAAGCAATTTGAAGACATCATCTTGGACTCTAACAAACACTTTTCACTACTGACATCTTTATTGCTTAAACAATGAATTAATTGTTTGAGAAAATAGTCAAAAGAAACTAATGTTTAGCTGCAGTTTACGTTTGTGGTAGTTATAGGATTTACTGACAGCTGTGGCCTTTGGACAACAGGTTAATTTCTCATACTGATGCCAGGTTGAATGAGCAATGTTCAATGTGCTGCCGCAGAATAAATCATGACAAAGAAAAGTCCCCACTGGTATAATGATGACCAGCTCAGCTTGTGCACGGATAGACGTGTTAATATTCTGTGCATTGTCTGCGCTCCTGACTCCACCCCAGATGCCTGCCAGCGCCAAGACAAACACTGTTCGAGACACTGAACTGAAGCGTGTCTTGGTATTGAGTAATCTAGGTTGCAACAATGCTACAATGTCCGGCCTTGGGACCAGCAGATGGGGATGGGTCAGGGGGCTCTGCTGCAGGCCTGGTGCTTTGGGAGGAGGAGGGTGTAGGACTGTGACAGAGGAACAATGAGCCCCACTACCCCCACCCTCGTGGATGCCTATACACCATGTATCCTAAACGCCACTTGCAGAATCCCATCTGTTCTTCATTCCCTCACTGTTTGCCTCCCAAACAATAGACGGTCGCACTGGGATTTGGTTGGAGCACAGTGGGTCGCACCCAAATAAACCCCTCCTCCTTTCATACTTGAGCGCAAAAAACTTAAAACTATGCAGTTACTCAAATTTGAATCTAAAATTATAAATAAACTCAAATTAAATAGTTAAAATAGTGACCCATTTCTCTATTATTACCACTATTCCCAATTTGCCCACTGACCTTCCCTGGTGCTCGTGCCGTCACAAAAGCTCTGTTGTGCTTTTTGTCAGACTCTCCATCCCCCCCTTTTGCACCCAAACTCAACCTGGCCTAATTTAAAAACATGTTTGAACTTATAAACAGCTGATTGTCGCATGAGAACATCAGCCTGCGGGGATATTTTTAATAATTTTACTCACAAATTACTTTTTTATACATACATTTTATTAACAACAAAGCAACATGTTAGTAGGTTGTTTCAAGGCTAGCTTCTTTGTGATATTAATCTCTGTGTGTATTTGTATCTAACAGCGCTGGAATGCTCACGAAACAAGCACAGAGGAATATGAAGCAGAAGGTACGTCGAGGCTCCAGTATTTTCATAAAATTGACTTTATAGATGTTTGTTACTAAGTGATGACAGTGTCTTACCTTGTGTGTAGGTCAAATGCATCTCTGGAACCCAGATGAGCCGAGCACACCCCGGGGATCGAACATTCCTCTGTCAGCCTGTTTAGAGGAGAGACTGCGTGAGGTTTGCGACGAGCTGGCGATATCGTGGGATGGATGTGCGGGTCACACTGAACTGCTCGCTGTTTGTGAACACTTGGGCCTGGAGGTGAGATTTTAAAGAAAATCAGTTATTTCTCTGCAGCTTTTCAGAAAATAACACTGTATTTTAATGCACAATAAAATACATGTTTATAATAACAAATCAACAAAAGGCTTATGCCTCTAAATTAATGTGGTTATAATTGAAATATTGAAAAACTGAAAAATATTTGTCAAAAGAGATTAGGGTGACATCTACAAACTAATCGTCTAAAAACCCAAAAAGATTTTAAGCAAAACAGCAAATA